TGATCACAAGTGGAGGGATCACTTTGCATTATGGGCGGTAACTTGAAGAATGACTCATGTTTGATCTTGTGGAGCAACTTGTAGATAGGTTCTTTGAACATAGTCTGAACACCTTTGAATGACCCCCCTGAGGGGGTAGCAGCCCCTTTCGAGAAGTATCATCCCACTCCTTCTCTTTTCTCTTAGGTTGGAGGGTTCTGCCTTTGCTGCTCCCCATTTCGTCCTCGATCCTAGAGTATTTGTTTATTCGGGCCATCAGCTTGCCCATATCCGAGGGAGTCTTTTTAGTCAGGGATCGATACAAGTTCGTGTCCCTTGCTAAGCTAAGCCTGAAAGATGCCGCTGCCATAACTTTCGAACACCCTTGCACCTCATTAACCTCTTTTCAGTACTGGATGCATACTGGCGAAAGGTCTCGGATTCCCTCTGTCTGAGCGTCAGTAATGATCCTACGTCTTTAGGCCGCTTACTCCCTGTAATAAATCGGGTTAGGAACTGCCTCGTCAACTTTCTCCATAATTCAATACTGTTGGGGGGAAGAGCCTCGAACCACTTCATTGCGGAGTCCCCCAAGCTCATGGAAAACACTCGATAGAGAAACTGTTGGTTCGAATGATACAGGGACATCATTTGTTTGTACTGCCTGAGGTGAGCTTTGGGATCTGATCGCCCATCATAAGTTTTAAATCTTGGCACTACGAACTTCCTTGGTACCTCCATCTCTCGGATATCCTTGACAAAAGGCGATTGTATGGTCTCGTCTTCAGCGTCATCCTGGACAATCCTGCCATTTCTCCTGGATTCCAACTGAGCTCTGAGATCAGTTTTCCCCCTAAATGGATGTCTTGATAGGTCTCCGAGTTCATTGACGGGGCTCCCCTTTTTTGGGTGTCGCGTGGAAAGGGTTGAATCTTCCTCGGACTCGTTTCCCTTCCTCTGTCTTGACAGTCCTTGTTGGAGGTCTTCCAAGGCTAAAGGCCTTGCCTTCTTGGAATGGTCGTTGAGGGGGTGCTTGTTGGCTCTTGGGCGTTTCGGAGCCCTAGAACCTTCAGTCTTGTTATTTAAATGATTCCTCAGGTCCTCAGTTTCTACTTCTCGGGCAGGGAGTCCACGACAAGGGAACGAGTCCCTTGACCCTTCGCCGGAGGTGGCGAATTCGTTGAGCCGGCTTAGGACGTTCACATTGTCTTTTTTCAACTGTCGTAATCGATCCCCAAACTTTTCTTCGATCACCTCCTCCAGTTGACGAGCCAAGGGGGTGGATTCTCCTGACCTGATGCCTATACTGGTTTGAGGAGTAAGCCCACTTGACTGAATAGAGACATTTTTGTTGTCATCAGCATGACCCTTCCCTTCATCATGACGAGGAGCTTGCAAATCGAGACCTCTTTGCTGGGGACATTTCCTTTCCTGTCGAGTATTCACCATGGTCACTGTCCTTTCTAGAGAAGAAACTAGGAAAACTAGTCGTTTCCCACAGACGGCGCCAGATTGTGCGTGCAGGATCTTGCATAATATACACACAAGAATAAATCTCTCCCGTGGTGAACACGAGTCAGTCAATCGAATGGTCAGCCTTGTTGTTTGGAACAATGTGAGATCCGGTGGTAGCTTGGAACGATAATGGGTGACTTTTGTGGGGTCATCAGAGCGGTCCAGTAAGACTGCAGGAGGTTCCCGAAACACAGAAAAATGAGTTAGGAGGGCGCCAGAGTGTTTTCCGGCGTATCCCCTCCGACGATCAAGTTAGTTATTTGAGAAAGGGGAAGAAGAAAACATTGTGTATAGGTTTGAGAAGAGGTTTCTGCGTACCTCATCATGCATTTTGTGAAGAGTATTTATATCTTAAAAACTCATGATTGTTGTCAGTATGGTCAGCAGGTGATCATTAGAGGCAGCTAACGTGCACACTGGTTTTGAGGAGAAATGACCTCTTCCTTAACTGCTTGGGACCCCGAGCAACCAATGCATCACCCTCGGTCTATTGAGCATTTAATGACCTTCACTCGGCTGGGATATATTAAATGCTCTATCACAGGGTCATCCCTTGTCTTTCACTTCCGGGTCTTCACGCATTAAATGTTGTCTCATCAAGGGAAAGATGCATTAAATACTTGCTTTCCCAAGTGGTGTGTCAGCAAGGGCATTCTGGTCTTTTTGCCTCTGATCTGACACAGTATGCCACGTGCCAGCTCTCCTTTGGTTGAGCTTTCTGCTTTCCTGTGCGTCATGACATCATCTAGGTAGGACCAGGTCATAATGGCTAATCTAGCCTAACCCAGATTGATGACCTGTCAATCAATAGCCCTGCAGGAACAGGAACGCCGACGTAGTGGTACATATCGGTGCCGAGATCCCAGTACGGTCAGGGCCGATGTACCCACCCCCAAATCGTCCAAGGAATACTTGTCATCCGTGCGTACCGGCGTCGTGGATTTTTATGCATAGTACTATCTCGGGGGGAGAGGGATCATGATCCGACGAGCACGTGTCGTGATCACATCAGAGTATTTCTTTGACACCGAGTACACGTGTCGCTATTTTGGAGTGTCTGAAAAATGTCCCATTATTTGCCAACTTTAATGTTTGACAGTGTTTGGTTGTTTGCTATGAGATAAAATTTCAACTTTAAATTATGTTTATTGGTTTTCAAATGGGTTCGTATTTTATTTTATTTTTTTGTTTTCGATTCATAGTTTTATGAATACCTACCGGTGGGATTGGGGGTGTGATAAATTAAGAGAGCCTTTAAGGTGGGAGTAGCCTATTGAATTCCGTAGCACAATAGATTGTTTGAAGTATCAATTGCCTATTGAATTTGTTGATGTGTTTATATCAGAGTAATAAACTTTAGGGCACTCAAGAACACGTAAATCTTTTTAATGTCATTGGATGGAATGACCTAGTGAGCTATTTTCTTTATTATTTTATAGTTTGTTTTACCGCTTGATCTTGATAACTCAATTACTGGTTCTGATTGGAGTAGGGTGATACATTACAGTAAATTGGTAATTGATTGGGATTCAGCTTTCTAATTGACAATCTTTTTGTGTTATATAGTGTCTTTAAACATGAGTCCATTTACATTAATAAGGTACACACACCATGAAACACAAAAATTTGAGTTCAAAGTAGCAGAAATGTATACCCTTCCTTCAAATTACTACACAGTAGAGTGTAGACTAGTATATAAATATAATCTATATAATAAAATACATAACAACTTGAATTTTTATTCCCTATATATTTTTCTCTCTAAAAACATCACTCACGCATTTCTATCACATGTTTAATCATTTATATATTCCCTCCTAAAAACATCACTTCACTCATTTCTATCACATATTTAATCATTTAATATTTGATTAATTTGTAGTTAATATAATTTTTATTTTAAATATTATTTATATACGATATTATATACATGTTGAAAAAATTTAATATAGTGAGATCGATTTTTTGGACACTCGAATTTTATATTTTATCATACCTTCATGCACGGGTTATGACTAATAATAAAATATGTATCTTATCCTTCCACTTTTACACCCTACCAAACACAAAAAAAAATTCATTCTTTTCTACTTTCCATTCAAATATATCCTTAATAATGATTACCCTATGTAATTTAATAATTATCCCGTTAGAAGAAGTGGCGTAAATTTTTTTATTCGATTATTTTTTTATTGGACAGTAGCAGGACATACATAGTTTAATGTAAGAGTTACATTCAAATTCAATATGTACTCCACCCTTATAGTTCTAGCAAATATTCTCTTAAGAGTCTGAACTATCTGTCAAAACCCTACTCGGCCCTAATCTCATCACCGCCCATCTCACTCACTCCCCCCAAAACATGCCCTCCTCATACACCTCTATCGATCCAAAATACCAACTCAGTCGAAGCGCCAACAGCTCCAAGTTGTTTGTGGGTAACATCAAATAATCTCCAACAAATAAGTCAGGGTATCAAAGTCAGTTTTTCCTTCTCGTCTATTCAAATATTGATATTCATTGTTGTCATTCAATTCAATGAACAAATAGATGTTGTTGTTGTGGTTAAGTAAACAACTTTTTTTTTTCTTTTCTAAATTTTTTTATGAAGGATCAAAACTATTGTGCTCGAAGCTTTTTAATCATATCATAAGAACACGTAATTTTGGGGCCTTGTATTCTTGATATGTTTACACTATTTATGCTTCCTTGGATGGGATAATAGAAACTGAGGTATGCATATGGATTAAGATGTTAAGATATGCATTGATTTCTAAACTATGAACTGGAAAAAAAAAAAAAGAATTTTGTCTATAGGGTTGATAAAATACTATGTTTTCTAGTTCTATTATTGCATTTTTGTAAGTAACTGAGAACCTCTAGTAGGGTTTGGTAATTTGGTGGGGAGGAAAAGATGGGAAGAGACTTTTATAATTGGTAGCAGGCAACCAAATGTGAAAAAAAAATACCTATCTTCCTTATTATATCACAATACACGTAAAAGAATACGTGTGTTAGTTTTTGAAGCCAAAGGAGTTTGCTTAGTGTGATGTTATGCGAGCGTCACATTCACATGCTTTGCGACACGATTTGTCCTCAACTTCCTCTCCCCCATCTCTCTCTCTCTCTCTTGTAATTTTGCCAGTTTGTTTTGTCCACTTTCAGCCAAAATTTGTTGCCACATGTCAATAGTTGAAAATGTCAGGCCCCAAAGTGTGAAGTGCCGACTGGTGCCTCAACTTAATGGTAAAGTAGAACTACTTAGAAGTCAATGCCCGATTAACATTTTGATGACATTTTCTCAAATGACATTTAATTAACATTTTGATGTGTCAATGGAGTGAGTAATACATTACCTTGTATTACTCACTAAATTGACTTTACGCAAGGGTTACTCATAAAGCTATTTTTTTCCAATGAAGATAGGTCACAGGCCGAGAGGATTTGTAGGAATGAGAAACTTCAAATATAATGATATGGTAATGTAAAGTTTCAAGGTTGGTCTCATGAATCCAATGCTATTAGAAGCCAAGTGTCCTTCTTGGGATGATGGATTGCAGTCAAAGGGTTACCATTCCATTTATGGCATAGAGAAATCTTTAAGAAGATTGATGATTGTTGTTGGGGGGTTCATAGATGTTGATCGACAAACTGAAAATCTCGAAAATTTGTTGGAGACTAGAATTAGGGTTCATAAACCTTCATCGGGTCTTCTCAAGACTTCTTTCAATGTTGATTTTCATGGAAATTCTTTTCCTCTTAAAGTGAAGGTTTTTTCAAGCTTGGGGAGGTTCAGTCGAGAAAATAAGTTTGCAGCGAGGAGGTATTACGGGACATCGGTGCAATGGGCGAGAGGTTGAAGATAACTTACAAAAAGAAGGGTGGATTACGTGTCAGTCAAACATGGCAGTAAAATGAGAAGTTTGGTCTACCGACGGGTCATAATAAATGTACAGATTTCTCTAATTGTTTATTCAGGAAAGAAGATTATGAAGGAGGATTTGAAATTTGAAAATGATTTCAATTTACGATTTGATTTAATCAGGAGAAATTTAAGGAAAATGGATCAAAAAATGGTCAAATGCATTATGGGCTAATATGAATCACGGTAATGATGGAGATTGGGCCAAGAGAAATAATGAGTTAACTGGGCTAGGGAAACAAGCTGTTACTAATGATTCAAAAATTTTGGATAAGGGTGGGGATTGGGCCAAGAGAGATAATGAGTTATCTGGATTACAGAAAGGAGCTAGTAGCAGAGGTGATAAATAGGTGAGTTGAACTGTTATGAGTTGAGTTAAATTGAGTTACACTTAAAATAAAGTGAAAATGAATTTGGTTAAATTGGGATTGTGTGTTGTGTTACTATTTAAAAAAAAGTGAAAATGAATTGGGTTAAATTGGGGTTGTGTTTTGTGTTATTTTAAATCCAACTCATAACAGTTCAACTCACCTATTTATCACCTCTGTCATCAGCTTCTTTTCGTAATCTAGATAACATATTATCTCTCTTGGTCCAATCTCCACCCTTATCTAAAATTTCTGACCCATTAGTAACAGCTTGTTTCCCTAGCCCAATTAACTCATTATTTCTCTTGGCCCAATCTCCATCATTACCGTGATCCATATTAGCACAACGCATAATGCATTTGACCATTTTTTGATCTATTTTCCTTAAATTTCTCCCAATTAAATCAAATCGTAAACTAAAATCATTTTCAAATTTCAAATCCTCCTTCATAATCTGTACATTTATTGTGACCCATCACTAGACCAAACTTCTCATTTTGCTGTCTTGTTTGATTACCACGTAATCAACCCTTCCCTTTGTAAGTTATCTTCAACCTCTCGCCCATTGCAACGATTTTCAGTAATACCTCCTTGCTGCAAACTTATTTTCTCGACTGAACCTCCCCAAGCTTGTAAAAACCTTCACTCTAATAGGAAAAGATTTCCCATGAAAATCAACATTGAAAGAAGTCTTGAGAAGACCTGATGAAGATTTATGAACCCTAATTCTAGTCTCAAACAAATTTCCGAGATTTTCAGTTTGTCGATCAACATCTATGAACCCCCCACAACAATCACCAATCTTCTTAAAGACTTCTCTATGTCACAAATGGAATGATAACCCTTCTACTGCAATCCATCCTCCCAAGAATGGCACTTGGATTCTAATAGCATTGGATTCATGAGACCAACGTTGAAGCTTTACATTATCATATCCTTCTATTTGAAGCTTCTCATTCTTACAAATCCTCTCGGCCTGTGACTTATCTTCATTGGAAAAAAATGACTTTATCATCATTATTTATCAACTGAGTAACCCTTGCGTAGAGTCAATTTATTTAGTAATACAAGGTAATGTATTACTCACTCCATTGACACATCAAAATGTTAATTAAATGTCATTTGAGAAATTGTAATGATTCTCGTGGTGCTATAGTTTTGTGGAGAATGATTGCAAATTTATGGTGGTGGAGGCATCAACAATTGTCTTTCATGATAGAGGCATTGAGGGAAAAAGCTAAGGTGAGTGAATTACTGGTGATATTTTTTTATGCACAAGTTTCTTTTTTTACCATGTAAGTTTTTGATAAAAGTGGTAGCTGATATCTTGATTTGTGTACTCTCATCATTATCATCTGATACATATCTGTTCATGTTTTGTGCTAAGTATGTGTGAGGGTATTTTTTGATAAATGGTGCTTGTATTTACTTCTTGTCGCAGGCTTGCAGCAATGCTCTCTCATGCTTGAGCTTTGGCTCTGCATGATTTTGGCATGATCTTGGATGCATGTGTTATATATTTATTTACTAGCCAAGTTACAATCCATATTTGCTCTACAATTAACATTGCTACCTTCACAAACTGAGACTTAACAGATCAGAATAATTCAACAAATATCCTTTCCTCTTACTAGTATATCTTTCCCTTAAGTGCCTTCAAAGAATTTGCGTTAATAAGTTGGGTGGTGGCTGCCTAACTGGACCCAAGCATATGCGTAAGCTGTACACAACACATGCATGACTTGTTGAGCTCTTAGACTGCCATCATATATTGATCTTGCTTGTTTAGACTATGTGGACAAGCTTGAAGAGACTAGTTTCCATGCCCAGCTCAAGCTATTGATGAGAAGCATATTTAATACTTGGGCCTAATTGTTAAATACTTAGCCAAGTTCAAACCCCGCTTGATTTTGGGGAACAAAAATTAATGATCGATCTAAAGTAAGTCTGAGTTACTCTTTTGATCCACCCTTCATACTATGTCTTCTACTTGTAATATTGGATTAATCAAATGCTAGATTAGCTACATGCATATTTTATTTTTCAATGGACAAAACAAAAAAGGAATAGGTTAATTTCCAAACCAGTAAGTAAAACACATCCCTCTTTAAGGAAAATCTAGTACAACTGGTAAAGTGATTACAAAAGTGGCATACATGAAACCTTATTTAGTTGTATGCACTAACACTACAATGCACATTATTATAAAGAAAAAGTGGGGTTAGACTTGAATTTACACATCCCATGCTGGTTAAAATGAGAAGCAACTTTTATTTTTCTAGGCTTATTAGTAGGGATTGCAGCGGTTTCAGAAGTGCTTGATAAGCAATTGCTAGAAAGACATGTGTATGATCCTCCCCCCATTAAAGTCTTCATCTTCTTATGTGTGACTTATTGAAAACTTCAGATAATTCTAGGGTTTTCAGTTTTTAAGAAGAGTCTCAAAACGTGAGAAATGTTGAGAGATTGCATGGTCCAGTAGAAGACGACTTCTTGGGATTGAAGTACCCAATTGGTCGCTGCTTCTTATCATGGACTCTAGTCCACGATTTTGAAACAAACCTCCTAATGCACCCGATCATTCACTTTATTGCCCTAAATGAATAAACCTCGTGTTTGTAAGCGTGAACGTATAGAATGGTTTATTTATTTGCTAATGGTTAATGGTGACCATGTTTCCTAGCTGTTGACATTAAATGTAGCTGTGCCTTGTAGATAGGGTTTTGTGCCAACAACAATGCTTCCAGTGGCTCTAAAGTTGACCTAACTTTAATTGCAATATGAATTAGCTCTGCAATTTTGGTTCTTATTTTGTTATTCCACAACTACTTTTATGATTTGCCAAAACAAGGTATATAATCAAACATATTTTTTCCTGAATGAAAATTTCATTTTATGACACTCCCTCACATTCACACTGTAAACTTCATTGATTGATTTCCACCCAACCATATTCAATCTTTTTGATAGTAAATACAATGATTTGTTTTCATATGGTATAGACCTTCCAGTTATGTTATTCAGTTTTGATAAGTTGCCAAACATCTGAGATATATATGTTCTTTTATTTAAGTAATTGTTTTGAAAATAACGAGCTGTAGATGGAAGAAGCATCTATGGTGGGGAAAAACATTTAATTAACCGTTCAGAACCATGTAAGACCAATTCTCATGCACAGCTAAATTACCAGGGGAAAAAAGTAAGGACAAGTAGATTTTTTTTTTATTTCTTTTGATAGCTTTTGAACTTGTTTAGTGCTTCAAGAACTGCTCAGTTGTTATCAAAATGCAGTATCACATCTACTTCTGAATCAACGGTAACTGTATGGGCCCGAGAATATGTAGGATTTGAAGGGTTAATGGAGCTGTCAACAGGCGTTGTTACTAATTATGACCAGCTCAAATCCGTATTCATCTAATTTGGATAACCAAACAAAATCATGCAGTTCATGTGCAAACGAGAAAATGATGATTCACCGGCGTCACTGCTAATTTTCATTCTGAATTTTTTTAGTTGAGGTCTTGATCCATGAATGGAGCTGCCATATTTGATTACAACTTGTATATTGGACCATTATTTGGTGTTTATAGGTATGGTATTGGCAAATTCAGTTGGTGCATCCATTCTTGCATTCTGATAGTGCCTTTTAGTTCCATTTGTCTGATTACATGGCTTTATCTTTTTTGTGGAGTTCTGTAAAATGCATATTCCATTTTAATGTGGAAAATCTAACTTTTACTTTGTGTATTGTTGAATGGCTAGCTCTTATTTCTTATCCATTCGATTAAGCTACGTGTTTTTTGTTTCTTAAAAGAAAAACTCCTGTATTTGGCATAGAACATATATTATTGCAAAACGAATGTATCAAAAGTGCGAGTATGACTTGGTGAAATTATGCTATTATTTCTTTGTACATCATGTTTGACTGGTGTGATCATGTTCCTACAAATTCATTTTTTGGTTTTCTTTTTCCCCCTTTCCAAGTGCACAACTCAATTAAAAATGACAAGCCTTGAGAGCCAGTTACCAAGGATGGCCTACATAATTTTTTGTCCCTAAGCTGTATTAATGGCCATCTGATATTTCTGTCCTACTCCTTACCACCTCAATCCTTGTCTTTTTTGCCTTTGTTCTTGTTATCGTTATGTACTTGAATCATGTTCTTCGATATCTCTGTTGTGCAATGATTCCATATGTAAAAGCAGCTTAGAGACTTAGATGATTGATCCTGTCCTCAGGTGGTGCAACTGCAACCTCAATCTTCTCATGTGATCAGTCGTTTTATTTGGTCTTTTGTTCTGTCATTTGTGATAAATCCATTCAACTATCTCAATTCAGCTATAGGTGCAATCTGGCTAGCTTTGTTGCAACTTCCAGCCACCAAGAGCTGACAATATTTCTATTTGATATAACCTGGAATATGATTGTACATATGACTGTTTGTCTTGTTTTCTTTTTCACTTTCTTTCTTTCTGATTTATTGTTTTCTTAATGTAGAATATGTTTTGTCCCCCACCCCACCCACAAAAAGTTTGCTTGAGCACGGCAATTTAGCTTAGTGCACAATACA